ATTGAAACGTGAAAATTCACAGATCCCGACTTTACGTCGCGATATCTCCGCTCGTAGGGCACGTAGAAAAAAAATGAAAGCACTTTTATTATACAATTTTAGTATTTCCTGTCGATTGAGCGTATGTAGAACTTGATCGGTTCAGCCGTTACTGAGATCTGATCATCTCGACCCGAAAAATTCTCCGTGTCGCGTAAAGGAGGCACGGCAGTGTCGCGCGCTTGGCTTAGCGCCGAGACACTACCGTGTCTCCAGATTTATATTATATGTATAATATTATATGTACATATATTTTGATAATGTATTTTACTTAGTTTAAAAGTAAATAATTGCAAGTAACATAAAGTACGAAACTGTATTAATTAGAAAACTTACTGCTTGAACATTTAAAGAATGATTTCCGTGGTGATTTACGTAGGCCTCTTCATGTACATGTGGTGCAAGGATATTAATATATGTGCAATCTATTGCACCTATAGCGCCGGGAAATGGTTGCGGAGCTAATGTAAATTTATTTCTTGAAATTGTTCTTTCATTTGCAGTCATAGGAAATCTTATCCATTGACGCAATAAATATACATTCATTAATTGCGCCATTTTCTTATGCAACGACTAGCACATGGTTGGCTTACAACTAATTCACATTGATTACCAGCAGGTCTTTGGTAACTACCATGTGCAAAGAAACCAAATGCTACTAATACTTGTATCTCTGGAGATAAACCAGTTATACGCTGTTTTTGCAAATGTGGTCTCAGAATATTTACAATATCTGTAACTATGTCCTTATTTACCCTAAATTGCGCGATAAATTCATTGTTAGGCAGCTCAAATGGATTTTGAGCATCGCGCAATAATCTTCTCTCTAATCGTCTTTCTAGAATTCTCACTCTTTCTTGAAGAAAAAGTATATTTATTGCCAAATATCCATTAGCCATTTTACACTAAAAAGAAAAAAGAAATAATAATAAAATTGTAATAAAAAACATTTTATTTACACTACGTATAAAGTTTTTAAATAGAATATAACCTCAATTTATTTATGTATACTTTATTATTTTTATCAGATAGTTCATAATTATCTTCAGATATTTTATAAATGGTTTTCAGATATTATATACATTACTTACACAATTATTCAAATCAGCAATTTCCAATATTAATTATGGGCACTTTCCAATATTAATTATGGGCAATTATTTTAGCCAAACGGAGCGTCCAAGCAGAAACGCTGCTATTGGTCATTATGTCTAGTTATACTGTCGTTATTGCTTATCGAGGGGTCCAGAGGCCCTATTCTGTAACTCGTTAAGGCAGTTAACGACATCGTTGCGCAGATATCTTATGGTATAAAAAGCTGCGCAACGATGTCGTTAACTGCTTAACGAGTTACCCCTGATACCCCTCGATATCTTAACGATAAAATTCGGTATTTTATCGAGACTTTTAACGACACTTATCGTTATGTTAAATTACAGAATACTATTTTTCGTTACAATGTCGTTAAGTCTGTTTAACGATATCCCTATCTAGTGAAATTGTCGTTAAGAAGTTACAGAATAGGCCTACTGGTGGAATAGTGAATGCGACAAGGCCGTTGCGGAACGCAGGGCCGCATCTAGAACCTTTAGGCTCTGTATGACTGTGGAGAATCTCGCCAAATTCAAGGACGCAGAAAGAGAATGTCGTAAGACCCTGAGAAGGATTAAACGTAGGGAATGGAGGAGATTCACTGCCTCTTTCAACGGGAAAACTCCTACCCCCAGGGTTTGGTCGCTAATGAGATCCTTTAAGAGACGAGATGCTGGAGGAGGCTTGGGAACAGCTGGGTCGCTAACCAAGTGTAAAGAGATTGAAAGTCTCATATACAAGCTCACACCGGATTCATGTGTACAGGAGATTGCTGTTGGCTCCCGGCCTATTCTGGACGCCCACTCGGGGGTGATTATTGAGAATATTGAGGACCGGCCCTCTTCTTCCGTTCCCGACCTTGCAGACCGTTTCTGCATGTCCGAGATGCGTCTTGCCCTTTCGGGTTTGCGCATGAATTCAGCGCCAGGCCTCGACCAGATCGATAACAACATTATTGGTGCTTTGCCGGATGAGCTTGTGGAACACCTTCTGGAGATCTTCAACGATTTGTTAGAGGACGGAGATTTTCCTCCTTCGTGGAGGAAATCTCTAATAATACCGGTACCCAAAGCCGGTAGCAGGGGTCTCCGTCCTATAGCCTTAATGTCGTGCACGCTTAAGCTTCTAGAGAGGATGGTCCTTCGTAGGCTCAAACATCATATTGAATCAAAGTCGATTCTCCCGAACACCCAGATGGGATTTAGACCGCATCGCTCCTGCGCTGATAACCTGGTGGTGCTGACTAACCACATCAGAACGGCCTTCTCCTACGGAGAGCTCGCTGTGGCCGTTTTCTTGGACATCAGAGGGGCCTTTGACCATGTCAACCCCGCCATGCTTGTGAATGACTTACTGGAAATTGGCGTGCCTGCTGTCCTGAGACAATTTATTGCCCACCTTATCTCGGAAAGGGAACTCTACTTCGTCAAGGAAGGGGAATTAGTTGGCCCACGCCTGACTCGTACTGGCACCCCCCAGGGCTCCTCCTTAAGCCCGCTATTTTTTGATATTTACCTAAAGGACATCAATAATTATGTGGCTGAGAGCTGTTCTATCTTACAATACGCGGATGATTTGCGACAGCTAATAGCGTTTTCGATTAACCGACTCGACCCGACTCCGGGTCGGGTTGACTTCGATCACAAGTTCGATTTGAGACTCAATACCTGCATTGACCTGCACAGTGTCATGGCGGAAGAGTTGTCTTCTATAACCTCAATAATAATACCTCAGAAATAATCAGAAATTGTTTATCTTACCTACTTTAAATGATATATACCATTTATCGACTCGCACAATTTTCGTAAGATAAACAATTTCTGATTATTTCTGAGGTATTATTATTGAGGTTATAGAGGACAACTCTTCCGTCATGACACTGTGCAGGTCAATGCAAGTAATCTGAGTCTCAAATCGAACTTGTGATCGAAGTCAACCCGACCCGGAGTCGGGTCGAGTCGGTTAATCGAAAACGCTATAAGACGGTGGTGGGGGCTGAGAATTGCCTTCAATCCTCGCTGGATACCGTGAGCAGTTATCTGGAGGGGAGAGGTCTCGAGCTATCCCCTCAGAAATCTACGGGAGTTATTTTCACGGATAAAAGATCTTGGAGGAATCAAAACTTAACTTTATTCATAAATGGTCAGCGCATTAAGACCTCCTCCTCGGTTAGATTTCTAGGCGTCATCTTGGATTGTGGCCTTACGGGTAAAGAGCAATTAAATGCCCTAATTTCCAGAGGCAATGCTACCTCCAAAATTATTTCCTCCCTATCTGGAGTATGGTGGGGTTCACATCCTCGCGTTCTTTTATCGGTCTACCGTGCTCTTTTCAGAAGTGCGATTGAATATGGGTCACAGGTTTTCACATACAAGAACCAATCAACCCTCTTTCTAAGACTTGAGAGAATTCAATATAAGATAATCAGACTTGGCCATGGGTTACAGGATTTACACGCCTATAAACGTCTTGCTCTACGAGGCCAGGGAGTGCCCTCTCAAACTCAGATTTAGCCTCCTTACTGCATCTTTCCTATTTAAGTGCTGGTCGGGTTCTGATAATTTGGTTAGGGTGGGTATCAAGGACATGGAACGCAAAGCAGATTCTGTTATTAAGAAGATCAAGGCGATTAATTCCTCTCCGTCCTTCAATCGCTACGCGATTCATCATGAAGACTTACAAAGGATCTTCCATTCTGAGACTTCTCCGGAGTTTACTTACGACTACGAAACCATGATATACGAGCCCTCCTGCAACTTTGACATGTGCTTGGTCAACAAGGACTCTCCTAACGAGCTTATTGTCTCGGAATTCAGATGCAAGTCCGAAGAACTCATCGCGAACAGTGGTATTTCGTTATATACGGATGGATCCAAGATTGGTGAAGACGGCTCCGTCGGGGCTGCGATTTACTCACCTGAGGAGAATCTTAGACTCGCGTGCAGATTGCCCACGACCTTCTTCGTCTTTTCGGCGGAGGCTTGGGCCATCAGAGAAGCTTTGAAACATATCCTTGAGCGCGAGGTGAGCTCTGCTGTCATCTTTACAGACTCCCTTAGCGTTCTTGAGGCAATCTCATCTCACTACCACTCTCAGCCTAATTACATTATCCATCAGATTAAATCGCTACTCAAGTGCTTGAATAACGAACGCAAAAAGATTATCTTATTTTGGATTCCTTCGCATAAGGGAATTTACGGTAATGAAATTGTGGATAACTTGGCAAACTCGGCTGCGAGAGGTGTGGACCCGCCAGAGGACCTTCCGATTCCTTTTACTGATGCTAGGAAAACTGTCAGAGATCACGCCAAGAGGACCTTCTCTGGTTGGCTGAGGGACGCTGCCAAATTCAAGGGCGTCAAACATGCTGAATTATATCAAGACTGTTCTCTTCGACCATGGTTCTATTCTAAATCTTTGGAGCGCGAAGAAATTGTGCTTGTCAACAGGATCCGTAGCAATCATTATAACCTGAATGAGAGCCTTCATCGTAAAGGCATGACTGCCTCGGCGGCATGTCACTGTGGTCACGAACGCCAAGATGTTAATCATATTATCTTCGATTGTCCGGAATCTCGTAATAAATCAGAATACCTCCTGGGGGGCTCTTCCGACGGGCGGGGCCTTCGTGGCTTCTCGTCCGCTGGTGGGGACCCCCCCCGCCTGGTTCCCCCCCCTTCCTTTGTTTCAGACTAAATTTGTGGAAGGTTGGTGGTATCCCTGCACTGGCCTGGTTGATTGCCGTTGGAGCGGTTACACGGCCAATAACAATCAAGAAAAAGAAGAAGAAGAAGACTTGCATAACTGAAAGGTGCCACGGCATGTTTGCTGATAAACGTTGCACACGTACATAGAAGTAAGAATTAGAACGTGTAGACGTGTACTGTGACGTGACACTTTGTGTCAGTCACTTGTGATTGCATTTACGCGGAGATCCTGTGTCCTCTAAGCTCGAAGGGCGAGGGCACAAGCGAGCGTGCCAAACTTATAATTATTAGTACAAAATATTTAGTTATTTTTCAGACTTTTAATAACGATTTTTAGTCACATTTGAGCGTGAGCGATAGTTAGGATAGGTCCATGTATTTTTACCGCCTCATTTACGGAAGGAAGAAAGAAGACATCGTCGAAGAAGCAAGAAATAACCTGAGAGGATCTAGTTTGCGTCACCGAGGAGCGCGGTACACGCAGGTCGTATTGTTCTGTAACCTCTGCTAATTTATTATTGAGATTATTTGATGATTGTCGCACCTTTATTGCAGACGTCTCGGAGAGAGACGTTGAAAGGATTGTCTGGACTCTGGCGAACTATAGCCGAACCTTTAACTTCCGAGGAGAGCGCAGAAAGATCGCAGATCGAGCAGGAAGCCTTTTCCGCTTATTTGGAAAGCGCGCTGGACATCCAAAGGATACGCGACCCGCAGGACTCGCTCTGATTTGTCGCGAGGTCGCGTGGCTGCGATAAACCAATTAGAGCAGGAAGCGGCCCGATAAGAGAGGGGCCTAAGGGTGATTTTACATGCAGCGCGGAACGCGGTAGGCGGTAAAGTAACTAGGAACCGCGCGCGGTAAGCCGCGCTAATTTTCTCCTATTAATACATGGAGCCAAAATTGCGCGTAAAAGCGGCACGGACTAGTGACAAGTTGACGTTACTATGCACTTTTTAATGAAATTAATAGATTTAAATGCAATTATTAAGCAGATTCGTTGAAAAAATAAGATTATTGATAAAATGTGCATAGAAATAAGTTAATACATTTAAGAAAATGCATACAAATGTGAACTTGTCACTATACCGTGCCGCCT